GGTTCATAATAATAACTTCATACATTCATAATATCATCATCATAACTATAAATATAATGTATGTAAGCTATTATCATAACTATGGTATAAAGAAAGATTAAGTTAAAGAAAATCCCCCTTAGATTATTGAGAAAGGTTGGAGATGCAAGTCCATTTTTGACGCTGAATTAGGTCACATCATCCCCCCTTCTTTAAAGTGATTTGTCCTCAAATCGAAGGGTGGTTTCTTTTCAATGTTCCTCCATTCCATAGTTATTGTTTCGTCGGAAATTAGGATCCCTTCAATAGGCTCTTGAGTGAGATATGTCTATGTAATTTTTCTTGGAACGTTTAGGTCCCTTGATTTCCCAAAAGAGACGTCTCTTAATACTCCAATAGGCATGATCATTGAATCCTCATGGGTCACGTCCATTGGTTCTTCCAAAGACACATTCTTTGAATGAAAAATTGTGTCCTTTTGCTGCTCAATGGATACGTCTTTTGGATTTCCAAAGGTCATGTCTCCTAAACCTTTCTTTTGGCAAATGGCGTCTCTTGGTACATCCTGCAAGTCAAAGAAAAAATCTGCTTGTTCAAAGTTAGAATAATCATCTTTAACCTTGCATTCTGTCAATAGACATTCTCGAATCAAGCACTTTGAAGAATAAACACTAGTTCTTGGATCAGTTTCCTCTATGGTTGTTGCTTTTCCTTTCCTTATAGCCTCAACACTTTGCTTCATTTTGGCTTGATCATTCTGGACTTGTTTAGGCATTAAAGGAGTAAGAATAATCTTCTTCCCTTTATAGCTGAACGAATATTGATTGGTAAAGCAATCATGAATAGTTCTTTTTTCGTATTGCCATGGCCTTCCAAGAAATAGATGGCTAGCGTGTATAGGGACAACATCACACATAACCTCATCTTTGTATTTGCCAATGGAAAAAGGAACTAACACCTGTTTGCTAACGTTGAGTTCTCCTCGTTCATTGAGCCACTGCAACTTATATGGTTTCGGGTGCTTCATTGTTTTCAAACCAAGCTTTTCCACCATTATTGTACTAGCCACATTAGTACAACTTCCACCATCTATAATAACAAAACATAAATTTTCATTTACATGGCATCGGGTATGGAAAATGTTCTCTCGCTGTGCATTGTCTTCCGTGACTTGAACATTCAAACTTTTTTAATTACCAAGGCTTCTCCTTAATCAACGGGATCTGCAAGAGTTATTTCTTCATTGACTTCAATGGGTACCTCTTGTTCTTCCTCATATTCAGATTCTATTTCACAATTTCCAAGTAAAAGCATGGTGTTCCGGTTAGGGCATTGTGTAGATACGTGGCCCCTCCCAAGATATTTAAAGCATCTAATGTCTCTTGAACGTTCAGTAGTTTGCTTTCCTCGGTTGAAGTCTTTATTTACTTGCTGATTCTTTGAAGATTTGACTTGATCTTTGACAGGAGGAGGCGTTGGCTTCTTGATGTTGTTTGGACTCTATTTTGATGTTGTGGGTGCAATATTGCGAGATGTATGTCTCCTCTTTAGTTGCCTTTCAATTTTCATTGCTATTTGCACCATCTCATCAATTTCGATGTAATGATACAACTCTAAGGTATTGACAATTTTGGGATTAAGTCCAGCAAGGAATCTCGCCATAGTTGCTTCACGATCCTCCTCAATGTTGACTCGGATCATTGCCACTTCAATTTCTTTGTAGTAGTCCTCCACACTCCTTTGGCCTTGTTTAAGATTCTGTAACTTTTGAAACAAGTCCCGGTGATAGTGAACAGGAATAAATCGTTTTCGCATAATACCTTTCATTTAATGCCAAATTGAGACTGGTCTTTCTCCATTCCTTCTTCGGTTAAGGGTAAGTTGATCCCACCATATTAAGGCATAATCTATTAATTCCATGGCTGTCAATCTTACTTTCTTCATCTCGGAATAGTTGTAGCAACTAAAAACGTGTTCCACTTTGCTTTCCCATTCGAGATAGGCTTCATGATTAGTCTTTCCTTGGAATTAAGGAATTTTAATCTTGATATTGCTCAAATTGTCATAAAAATGGCACATCTAGGGCCTTGGTATGCTGCTTGTTCTTCATCGTCTATATTTTCTTAAACATCTTCTTCTGGAGGTGGTGGTTGTTGTTGTCTTCTAGGGGCTCCATTATTACGGGCTGGTGGTACATCCTGACGTTGATCTATCTTTTCATGAAGAGCATCAAACTCTTCACGAAACATTCTCATCATTTCGCCAATGAGTGCCTGTATTTGTAAGTTTGGTGCTCCTGTATTTTCTCTAGGGCTTTGAGACATGGTTAGTGCAATAAAACAAATTAAAACCTTACCAGTACACTCACAAAACCTCACTTGATTACTCCAAAAAAATTCAGATTGCACTCCACTCACACTCGTGTTTGCACTCGGGGATATATTCTTGGCTTTTTTTTATCCCCCTTCTGATATCGCCCTCTCGTTTATCTTTTACCACTCGATTCTCTCTTGTGGGTTCTTTTTAAGAACTAACTCAAGATTGAGCAAGTCTCTTTAGTTTGTGAGTCGGTTTAGAATGGTTAGGAATAGAAATGGTTATGATATAGGGTAGGAAAAAAGAAGGGTAAGAAAATGATATGGTAATGAAATAAGAAAAGATAAAAGAAAAGGAAATGAAATAGTAAGAAAGTGAAGATAACTTACAACTCAAGTTGCAACACTTACTATCTTCCTTCACAAGAAACAACAAGGATACCTCCTTCAAGTTTGATGTTGAGCAGATGGTAATATGCTTCTCTTTGAGTGTACTTTGCAACTTTGCTTCACTTTTTTTTTCTTGAATTTTCTTCTTTTCTTTTCTTTTCTTTCTTTTGCACTCCAAATTTGATGTAGGAGTCTTTTTCTTTTTTTCTTCTTTCTTTTTCTCTTTTTGTTTCTTTTTTTGCAGCACTTGATTGTCAATCCACCAAAGCTCTGATACCACTTGATGTAAGGCTAACCAGGCTTCTTCAATAATGGAAAAGTTGGCAACCTTGTTGTTTATCGATCTAGGAGAGACACTAAATGCCACATTTTGAATCAATAAGTAATCTGCACAAAATTAAAAGAAAGAAATGATTAAAAATAGACTATGGAAGAAGAAAGGAAATGATAAGAAAGAAAATGGATATAAATGTTATAAAAGATGGGTTGCGGAAGTGTTGAATAAATCTCCTTCAAGTGATGTTGACTTCGGCCTCCAATGATAGTGATGAAGTATGTCTTGTGGATGAATGAAGGATGATTTAATGGTGATGAAATGGTAATGGAAGGATGATGTTATTGGCGTGATATGGAAGATGGTGATGTTATAGATAGTATCTTATAAAACTAAGAAGGAACCAATGCTATAAAGGAGCAAAGACCCGTTTCTTATAAGTCTTATAAGGGATGGTATGAAAGGACTTTGACTCACTAGTTATATAAACTAGGAACCAGAAGTATCAATGGAAGGGGTTTGACGCCACAAACTATGAAAGCTTGCTTAATCGATATAGTTCTAAAAAGAACTTAAAGAGAGAATAATTCTCACAAGAGTTTAATTTATCAAAAGGGTTCAAGTTACAAATGAATATCAAAGCCTTATTTATAGGCTTGCATAGGTTTGGCCGAATAAATAGGTGTCCATTCGGCTAGATACATGTCTTAAAGCGAAAATAAATGATGCTTGGATGAGGGGAGATGTCTTTGGCCTAATTGGAAGTATCCCTTGGTGTTTTGGCGCCAATTTGATGTCATATGGAGTGCACATGCTTGAATGATGCACATGGTAGCATACTTGAACGCACATGGGTCTTCTTGCAAGGCTTTGGTGAGGTTGCAACCATAGGATGATGTCTTGAAGTCAATGGAATGAAGATAGGTAGCAACTAGGCGTGACTTAGCTTCCAACGTGCATCTAGGTGTCATGGTCTTCAATGGGCAGCAACTTGTCATGAAAAGTCACATTTGTGGAAGGTAACCTTTCATCATTTGAGCTACTTTCCATGTGTTTGAGATGAAGATGAGCTGGCCAAAGATGAATTACATGTATGTGAGTCTTAGGATAACTCCTTGTGAAAAGGCACTTCTCGGAATGACAACTCTTCGCGAAAAGGTATGAATCCACAAAATTTAACCTAGACCATATTTGTAGTGTTTTGTATGGTGATGATGATGGTGCAACTCTCCAGCTGAAATGAGGTCTCTAGCTAGCTCAAAAGTCCAGCTCAAGTGAGCTATGAGCTCGGGGGTCAGCTGACAACTTTTCACCATTTGTTCTTCATGATCTCCCGAGTCATCTTATGTAGGTTTTCCTAGCTCATTGATTCCCATGCTAGCTTTAAGTCAGCTCCAATGATGTGGTCGAACATGTACCTACAAAAGAAAACATAATAAGCTAAATAATATAAGATATAATCATGTAAATATGTGGTTCATAATAATAACTTCATACATTCATAATATCATCATCATAACTATAAATATAATGTATGTAAGCTATTATCATAACTATGGTATAAAGAAAGATTAAGTTAAAGAAAATGCCCCTTAGATTATTGAGAAAGGTTGGAGATGCAAGTCCAATTTTGACGCTGAATTGGATCACATCAGTTTTTATTTAAATTTATTTGTAAATATTTATAATATTATGATATTATTTTATTCAAATTTAAATAGTTTTCTATAACTATATATGGTGTACATATATTTCTTTCTTATTTTTTAATATGTGATATATATATGTCATGCAAATTTGAAGGAATCGACTCGACTCGATATTAAATTTACTAATATTATGATATTAAATTTACATTTTTAATAAACATATCAGAACTTCAGATATCATTAGAGGAGTAATCGTTGGCACAGAATATTCCCAAATTAGACATTGTGATTAGAAAATAAAATAAACAGAGCTGAGCCCATTAAAGGTTAAAACAGAGCTGAGCCCGATATCCTTCACTACACTCTGCTGCTGCTTCTACACCCGATCCAATTGAATTACATATTATTTTCCAGAATTTGCCAACCACCCGCCACTCTCTCCGTCCCGGCCGCCGACCTCCGCATAGTTTCCTCTTTGGACACTATTTATCCTCCTGTATATTTATCCTCTACCGTTCTCTCTGACCATACAAATTTTAATTCCTAAATAAAATTGTTCGCCTTTTGATTTATTTTGCAGCTATGGATGACGACAATTCGAACGCGTTGCGGAGAATGTCGACCCGTACTCGTAAAGTGGCTCCTAAAATGGCTGCAGCACTCGGCAGTTCTGATAATCGAACCCAGGTTTTATTTCCCCTTTTGAATTTAGACATCTGTTAGTGTTTAAATTTTTGCTGTGAAATATTTGGAAATTAATTGGTTGGGGTTTCATGTTGTGGGGGGGAAAAGGCAGCTTTGGCCCGTCTCGAAGCTTTGGAGAATGATAACGCTGGGATCGAAACAGTTGAAATGAACGATGATGATGAAGCTTCTCTTGATGAAGATGATCAAGGTTTCCTTCTTTCTTTATGCGAATATCTTATTACGAAAAAGGGTATTTGATAGTTTGAAATGTTATATTTCTTTAGTCGAACGCAAGAGTATTAAACGTTTGAATTAAGATGCTAGTTCTATTTTGATACTGTATCAGAAATAGCAAATAAAAAAATCGGTCTTTTGTTTCTTGATTTGTTTTATTGGTGAAAGGAATTTTTTTTTTTTTTTTTTGATTAAGTAGACAAGTATTACATTCCCAAGGCAACTGCCGGGATTCAAATCTACACAAGGTGATACAACATGAGCATCCTTGGCCACTAAGCCAATTAATGGATTGGTGAAAGTAATAGTATTAATTAGGAAGAACTTTGTTTCAACCATTAGAATGCCTACACGAGAAAGTGAAGTTGAAAATATAAACTTTGTTCATCTTAGTAATGCTTAAGAGTATAATTTATGTTGTCAGTGTTAAACATCTTAGCCTATCCATCATTTTTGAGAGAGGGGTTTTATTCAGAGCCTTATAGATATTGAAGTTCATACCCTATAGATATACTAGCTCTTCTTAAGTGTGTGTTTCACTATAAGCAAAACCATGAAAGTCTTTTGAAAGGATATTGAACCAGATGTTATAGAATTACTAATATTCCTGTGTTCGATCTTTTTTTATTATTAAGAATCAGTTTTGTAGTCAAGTGCTTACTAAAAAGTGAACTGCATATAGCAGTTTTACAATTTTAATACACCCGTAGCACAGCGTCAGCAAAAATAAACCAACTTGCTAAACAGACATGTCATCTTCTAATCTGCAATTTTACACAATCTTCACATTAATTCTGTCCCCTGCGATCTTTCTTTAAGTCTATATCTGCTCAGTTTTTGGTTATATTAAGAAGTGCAATTAGAACCTTCTTGTCGAACCAATTGAATTCAGCGATCCAGTTGCCACCCTGCCTTGTAGTACCCCGTAGTTGAAGGACTTTCTGCCAAACCGGCTTGGTAACATCAGTATCATACTATCTTCGTTATTTTCTGCCTTGGTTTTGTTCATGTACCCTTGCTATACTTATTCCTTTTGCCAATTATTTGATGATTCTTTACAGTGAGTTTGGACTGTTAAAAAAACTACCACTAAACGTTTGAAGCTTCAAAGTATTCTGGCATTAATATGTTTCCTACCTTCATGGCCTGCTTTATTCAACCAAAACAATTTTAAAGGGCAGTATCAGTAATTATTTGAAGTTGTTAAGGAAATGTAACTATGTTTTTCTTGTTTTAGAACTTTGTTTGTTTTTTAACTTCTATTTTCAGTGTACATGCAAAAGAGATCCAAGGGCACGAAACGGAAAACACGACAGGCAAAAGCACTTGAAAATGCTAGGAAGACTCCCAGATCATTTCTTGAGCTTTTACATGAGGTAAAAGGATAGTGATGTGTCGAGTCATCCTAATTTTGCCTCGGTTTCCTGAACTAACTAATTCCTATTTTTGAAGGCAAACTTGGAATCCTTGCCTCCTCATGTTCCATCCTATCTGAGGGCAGCAGTTGGACCTCCAAGCTCTACCTCCCGCAGGCATTTTTGCAGTGTTTGCGGTTTTAGTGCAAGATATACGTGTGTGACTTGTGGTATGCGCTTTTGTTCGTGCCGGTGCCAAAATATACACAACGATACTCGATGCTGAAATTTGTTGCATGAGCGATGAGACAGGAACCAAAAGAATTCTTTTAATATTTGGTCTCATCAAATGGCAAAAAATATTCTGAGGATCATGTTGTAAACAGAAATTCCAGATGAATCTTAAGAAATTTAGGGTTTCTATGGTACTGTTTCTTGGTAGGGTTTATAAAGGGCAATAGAGAAACAAGAGGAACCATGGTATTCTGTTTCAATGCAGCAACATCATTCTGACGATGGCCAATACGAATATATATAGAAAGGGGTTAAAATCAATATTGTGCCAGATGATATTAATTATGTTATGTAAAAGTCAAATTTGTAGAAGAATTATCACCGCCCCTCATTAGGGGGTCAGTACAATCCTGTGGCAGAAGTGGTTGATTTGTCTATTGTCAGAAGGGTTTCATGGAAGATGCTTGGGGATGACAACGCAATGATATTTGGGGATCGATCGAGAGGGACTGGTAGGGCGATTATAAATTCATCTTTAACATAAAATCATATGCGTCTCTGATAGTGTTTTCCTATTATACATACGACCAGTTTTATCTGAGAAGAAGAGCTTAAATGTGTTGAATGCTGAGACTTTGAGGGTTGAGATCATCTGATATTTTATTATATACTAAACATAAAAAACGATGGAACTCGTACTAATAATCTTTCTTCTTAGGAACACAACATTGATCATGGCAAATAGTAAGCTGATTAGCAATAGTACAATTAGAACATACAACATCAAAGCATACAAACCCATAAAATCCTTGAAACCAAATCCAGGTATCGAGTAAATGGCTGAAGCCGGAGGGGGTAATACTCGATGCTTAACATCGTGGCAGATCGAGTGGGGGAGGCTGCACTGTCTGCAATTTCCCAATCCCGTTCTCAACTAGCAATGCTGTGGCCAAACCCCAAGGGAGATGACTGTCTATATGACAATGGAGCAGCCAGATTCCTGTTTTTGGACCAGTCAATAAATTACAAGGATATCAACACATGGAAGCCGTTTAATTTTGACTTGAGGAATGTACTTGGTACCATTATTTAAGTTTGGCATCTTACCTGGGTTGTCAGCCTCGAACCGGATGGCTACCCATCCACCAGGAGGTGTTCCAATGGTATTTCTCTCTGGCGGATCGATAAGGTTGAATTTGGCTGGATCGTTTTTGGGATCAAAGTTTCCAAAACCACTTCCGACAACATAGAATTGGTAGCCATGAAGATGCATAGGGTGATCTTCAACTGTGACGATATTTGTATCCTGGAAAACTATTTGTACCTTGGAACGGTACTTCAGTTTCAGGAGCTTTGTTGCCTTAACAGGTTGCCATAGACCTCGGGGCACATTACCTGAATAATCGAATTGAATGGGAGGAAAAGGTGGAAAGTCGGTGGTGAAGATACCGGGCTGACCTTGGTAGTAGGCCTGCATTAAGGAGTTCCTTCTTGGTAATACGAATGAGACATTGTTGATGCTGGCAGCAAAGCGAGTTCCGTTGGGGCCTTGGCACCGAGGGCTATTTGGATTTGTGCAGTTGATTAGTCCTAAACCCACTGTGAAAAACAAGCTCTCATCTATCTCAAGGGGAACTTTGGCTTTGGAAAGACTCCTTAGCTGTGAAGTGAATGCAGTCGCAGTAGCTGTGTCGTTGAACCCCGGTAGCTGAGGGAATATTGGTTTTAAAGACTGCCCTTTCTTTGCACTGCACGGAGCGGATTTATATTCAAGGATTGCAGTCGTGGTGGTATTGTCAAAGGGCGCATTGGCGGTGTTGTAGGCATGTGCTGCCATGTAGTAACGAGCCGGAGTCTGGTCCACCGTAAGAAGGACATCGGTTGTCTGGCCAGGAGCTATCATTATGACATTTGTCGCGAATGGCTTGGTGTAGGCAGCATCAACAGAAACAACAGTTAGTTTATGGTTAGCCACACCAAAGAACATCTCTTGATTCATAGCAGAGTTGATGATCCTCAAGAGAATCGTCTCGCCCGCCTCCACGGGAAATATCGCTGTTTCTGCATTTGTAATTGATGAGTTACTATACCATCTCCTATATCGATGCTCCTCTTTCGATTTAAATGGTAAGAACATACCTTTGCTAGAGCATCTATATAAATCCCCTGGTTGACCATTAATTGTCAATGCATCTGATACATTTGGAGCAGCTCCAGTGAAAAGTGCCAACCTTAGAACATCCATTGGATCCCTATCCCACCATTCTCCTGTTTATCATCATCATCATAGTCCATTTGAGTTATGCTATATATATATGTATATGTACAAAGATTGAAGACAAAGTGTTACCAAGAAGAATAGGAATTTCTCTCTTGGGCATAGGGAAAGGGTATGGAGAACCCAATTTAGGATATATGATGAGAGCTCCATAAACTGTGGCTCTAAGCCACCTGCTATGAGCATGCCACCACAAAGTCCCCTCCTGGTTTTGGATGGTGAATTGGTATGTGTAAGACTGCCCTGGTCGGATGGGACACTGCGTCACAAACTCGGGTCCATCGGCCCATGGATTTCGCAATTGTCGCACTCCATGCCTGATTAATAGAATGTCAGAAAAATGATACTACAAACAACAGTACATTAGTTTTGAATAGTTGTTAAAAGATTACCAGTGGAGGGTGACATTGTATCTGCCTCTGTTTATAGCTTTGATTACCAGAGTGTCCCCGTCTCGCACTTCCAACGTCGGCCCCGGGAATTGTCCGTTCACTGTAATCGTACTGTGAGTTCTGCACAGCCTCTTCACTGGTTTTGCTTCAATCTGTGTCAACAAAACAAGAAAAAAAAAAGGTAAATTTTCAACAAGAAGGGGAGTGTTATACTTGATTGAAACTATGTTTACGAAGAAGTCGTACAACAAATTCATGGAAGTGAACTGCTGCATCTGCAAAGGATGCAAGGAAAGCAAAGAAAAGAATGTGAAAGAATAAGTAAGAGCTGCATGGTTTTGCACTGAGTTTGTGATACTCCATTGCTTTGTGTTAGCCCTTTTTGAGGGATGAGGAACTGATCTGTGAGCTTGGAGTTCATGGAGAGCAGCTATTTATACTGTGGAAAACGTGGGAAAAAGACAAGAATTTAACTGTTTCATTTACATTGGATTTTTTAAAAAAAATGTTGTTGCAAAATTAGGTTTCAAGTCAACCAGAGAACTTAAAAAGTTTTATGGCAAAGTTAGTCTAACCATAAAGAGGATTTGGTGCACCCACTGTTGGACCAATATCATCTAACAAAGGGAGATTCTGCACTCTTAAATCATTACTTGTATTCTCTCGTAGTGTTATTAGGTATGAGTAAAACTCGACTCTATTTAAAAAAAATTAAAAATAATTTGACTTGACTCGAAAATTTTTCAAATAAAGATTGAATTATAAAATAAGACTCGAATAACTTCAATTTTTTAGTAATTAGTGAATTGATATATGTATATTGCATGTGAAGAAATATATATGTGCATCGTATATGGTTATAGAAAGTCGTTTAAATTAAAATCAATTAGTGTCATAATATTATAAATATTTATAGTTAAATTTAAATAAAAATCGAACAACTCGAATTTCATAAACTCAACTTAACTCAAAAAATTCCAAAATAATGTTTGAATTATAAAGTATGACTCGTCAACTAACTAACTCAAAATTCTTTTACTCAACTCAATCGAATAATCACTCGTAAGTGTTGTCATTAGTATGTACTTCCACATCTATCATTAACTTAAAATTCTTTTGATCTCAATTGAGGTTCGAAATAAAAATCATGTAAAGTTGTAATAGATTTAAGGCATAATAACAAAATTATCTATCAACGTTTGCACAAATGATCACTTTGTCCCCTATTCTTTTTTTCTGGAGCATTTTAGTCCCTCAATGTTTTATTTTACAGCAAAATATCCACTGATTGAATGGAAATCACTAGTTAACAAAAGGTCAACGCTTCATATTAACATGACAAATCCATGTGTAATGTCATGTCATCATAAATTATTTTTAAATATATTTGTACAAATGTATATGTAATTAATTACAATTATAGTTTACTTTAAAAAAAATTATTGACTTGTCACATCCGCATGGTAATTAATCGTTAGTCAACTAATAATTTTCATCCCATCAAAAGACATTTTACTCCAAAATGAAACGTTGAATGCTAAAATGCTTCATAGAAAATAACAGGGATAAAGTAATTATGTATGCAGACGTTAGGAAATAATTTTGTGATTATGCATAAATTTAGATCGTATTAATTAAAATTTGATTCTATATATAATATTTTAATCATTTCTTTGATAGAACCAAGTTTGATACCAAACCTACATGTCCTATGAAATATTGATGAGTTTTAGAGATCGAAACACATGGTGAATACGTTTTGTCAGTTATATTCTCTCTAGTTATTAATAGAACAATTTATGATCTTGGCAGATAATGTGAACCAATCATTTTCCCACCTGACCAATTAACATCTATTTACTTTCATCGGCTATGAATCTCTGATTACTAGGTAGCAAAGGGCAGCTAGGATGGAGTTGAATTTCTGTTTCGATTTGGTAGAGGAAGATTAAATTATGCTTTCAGTCCCTCTATTATGTTTAAATTTGGAATTTGGTCCTTTTGCTTTGTTTCGTCATACTTTGTATGTAACAAATTTGGTGCCATTTGATAAATTGAGAGAGTTAAGTGCTGAAAAATTATATACTGAAAATTAATTTTTGAATTCAAATTATAAATATATTTAGCATTCTACTTAAAATTAAATACTGGTTATAATTAGATTGTTTGATAACGTGTATTTTAAATGATTATATAATTAAAAGAAACAAAAATAAAAGAGTGTTGAAAATATTCTTCATTAATTGATAAGTAAATACTTATTTACTCAAGAATTTTTATACTATTTCATTGAAGCATATAATTTTAATTTTAGATTGTGAATCTCCGATTAATTGATTAAATAATTAACTAATTATATTATAAAAAATCAAATTATGTCGTATTAAAATTCAAGGACTAAATTTAAAATTTCAACATAATATCGGGATTCGACCATGAAAAAGGAAGAGGTGTAATGTTGGGGTTAGGTTGAGTATTTTATTTTATTTTTGTGAAGAATGCTTGAAAGAAACAAACCGAAGTCCCATATTTGAAGTTAAGTTAGAAGCTCAAAAGGATCCAATAGATAAGACCCCTCATAAAGTAACAATAACCAAAGTTTCCAATTGATCCTCTAGAGACAGAAAACTGACAATTTTTGGTTTGACTGAACCAACATCTTTTTATTAAGTATTACATCATATTTAAATATTGAGATTCGAATCTATACAAGATGGATCAATATAAATATAATTCGTTACTCGATCAATTAATGAATCTCAAACTGATATTTTCTTTAACCATTGAATAGAGTCTTACTCTGGTGCTTAAACTAAATGAAGTCTTAGTGCAGAGTTCATCAAATTCTTCATGTCATGAATGCAGTCTTTTAACAAGGAAACTCTGCCCTTGATTAGCGGCAGCAGGGCCAACTAATAGGGAAGCATTTTGAACGATTGTTAAGGACTCTAAAAATGTCCGAAACGACTCTTATCGACGTACGCTTTGCATCAGATAAAATGAATGAACAAGATGTACTTCTGATAAAAAAAAATCAATAAATCTGCATCAGGTTAATTAGCATAAAATTCAGGGCAATCATGTAAACATCAAACAGAAGGGTTAGTTTTCTTCAATAATCAAATATATTATGTATTTAATATTGAAACGAAGCAGGTAATATCAATGCAAGTGCCCAAAACTTGGGACTTTATCAAGTAGGTAGCCTGCCTACTGACTTGGGGTTAAAAAAATGAACAATTACCATATATTTTTTTCATACAAAATATATATTGTATATTAATTAGGTAAATTCGTTATTTTTTTCATAATAATAGAGTTTAAACATGCTAAACCTGCAGTTGGTGGTGCAATCAGACTAATTTATTCCATACACAATGTCTATTTTTAGGGTCAATTACAAATTTACTCATCGAATTTTTTTTTCTCCTATTTCACTTGTTGTACTTTCGAGTTTTTCAATTTACTAACTAAACTTTATACATTGAACAGTTTTGGTCACTTTCTATTATTTTCTATGACATGACATTTTTTAATATTATTAAATATAAAAAGAATCTAAAATAAATAATAAAATAATATTTACTTATTATTAAATTTAAAAATATTTAAAATACTCATTGTCGCTTGTCGTCACTGTCGACCATCGTTGCTTTCAAAATCGACGGTTTTTCACCGGAAAATATCCCAAAGCCCGTAAATCGCGATTGGAATGTTTCAATTTCCTTACTTCTATCTCGTATTCGTGGACTTCGGAGCACGTTCCGACAAAGTGGAGGCCAAATTCGAATTCAAGGGACCGAAACAAAGCGACCGGTGAAATCTGAGATCGAAGGGCCATCATCTACGACATTTGGTGATGGCGTCTGGGTGACGATGAATAGCTTGAAATTGCGTATAAGGAGACCACCGTACCTACCTGTTAGAGAACAACTTTTTCTAACGATTGGAATCGACATGTAGCGGGAGGAAATTAAGAAGCAAAGGCAAAAACCTAATTTTGTGGTGCTGGAAGTGATTATACAGAGGGAGCTGCCTGTCACTCTAGAGAACTAATTGAAGAGGTGGTTTGTTTCACTAAAGCTAAAGCCTTTTATTTACATGTTTGAACTTCAAGGCCGTGAAAAATCTTATTTTAGGGTCTGTTTGTTTGGTTGTAATTGGTTTTCTGAAAATTGAACTGTGAAAAATGAATTACTGGAATTTGAATTCTGGAAAATGAATTACATTTCTGGAAAACGTTTTATGGAAAATATTTTCCGTAAAATTAATTACATTTTTCTGAAAAACATATGGAAAATGTTTTACGATGTTGTTTAAACATTTTTTTCCAATAGTTGATGAGTTTTTTTAAAATTTATTTATTACAAATATTAAATACAATAAATAATAGAGAAAATCGCCTCAGTGACAAAAAATGCCTTATAATATACGATTTTAACCAACTTTTTTTGGATTTGCCAAAATGACCAACAAAATCGCAACGCGAAATAAAAATCGCAACGCGATCCCCAGAATCGCAAATCAGTTTCCAAAATCGCAACGCGATTCTTGACAATCGCAATGCGATAGTACAAATTCGCATTGCGATTTTACAGAATCGCAACGCGAATATGAAAATCGCAACGCGAACACATAAATCGCAACGCGTATCCGTAAATCGCAACGTGTATCCGTAAATCGCAACGCGTATCCGTAAATCGCAATGCGTATCCGTATATCGCAACGCGTATCCGTAAATCGCAACGATAATCAGTAAATCGCAACGCGTATCCGTAAATCGCAACGCGATTTTTAAAGCGCCATTATAATCGCTACGCGTATTTTTATTTTCAAATTACAAAAACGAATATTAAGACAAAATCCCGTAATCGCAACTCATAACCTAAAACCTAAAATCACAACTCAGTCCCATCTCCATCTCTCACTCTCTACGGCGAAATCTGTCCCCATCTCCGAAGATTTCCGTCCCCATCTCCGCGAAATCCCTCACAACCATTCACGGTCAGAAATCCCTCACAATATTCAGAAATGGAAAATCAACCTCCGAGGGTTAGTTTTTTTAATTATTTTTATTTTGAAATTTTTGCATTATTATAGGTTTTTTATATTGAAACTGATGATATGTTTACTGGTCATTTCAATAATAGATTAACCATTTCACTTAGATTTCATTTCGCGTTACGATTCTCTCGTTGCGATTTTCATTTCGCGTTGCTATTCTCTCGTTGCGATTTTCAAGTTAGTATTTGTCTTTGTCTTTGTTCTGTCTTTTGGTTGAAGTAATGCAATCCATTCAAGTTTCAATTTGCAGAAGAGTCGCAACGAGATAAATGAAAATCGCAACGTGAAAATGACTATCTGCAACGAGAAAAATGAAAATCGCAACG